CATTCCAGACCAGGTGGCAGCATCATGACCAACTCGGGAATTAAAGTCGCCCAACAGGATGACTCTATCCCAAGAGGCCATTTTAGCTAGCACCTGTGACAGGAGGTCATAAAAGGCATCTGAATCATCGGCCTTGCCTTCATCCCTCCACGGATGTTCGTCTTCGGTGGGGGCAAAAGTAACCACGACCACCACTCCTCGCCTCTGGTCGATGGAAAGGCGAGCCTAAAGTAGCCTGGGGCCTACAACTTCCCACACCTCACCGCCACGCTCCCACACCCCCTTCATTTTTTTGTTCAGAAGAGCCACTCTCTGTTGTTTGGCAGTCTCCTGCCCCGAAAAGAGGACTGTCCACCCCTCATGGTGGCACGAGCCAGAGGCGGTCCACCGGACCTCCTAAATACCACAGAGATCCAGACGGTACCCGTCCAACTCCCAACAGTGGAGTGGCAGCCTCTCCTCCGCAGTGAGCATTTGAACATTCCACATGGCCACCTGCAGTAGCTTTTTGCTGTATCTGAAGGAACCCCAAGGGTAAGGATTCAGTCTCCTGACTCCGCCAAATGGGGTTTGGCGAGGAGACGTCATAGACGCCTGTCCCCCCGGGGCCTCCGGCAAAAGCTTAGTTTGATATTTTTTTCCGTGGTATTGTGGTAATTTATTTGAAGGTGAGGGGTTTACCAGCCCCTCGCACCCATCCAGAGCCTCCATTTGGCCGCTGTGGTGGCTACAAACGCCATAAGGGGAATGGCCAATCTAAATTGGCCCTCCCCACATGGCACTGCTTACCACAGCGTTGCCGTCCAGCACCAACGAGGACGTAGGGGCTTGTTTTGCCGGACATACACATACACACATACAACAGAGGGTACGTGCCGACCTCCATACACGTGCACGCGAGCACCGCATGGCGCCGCGGATCGACCTGACACTCGCTCGGCCCTGATGATGCACTCGCTCGGCCCTGATGATGCACTCGCTCGGCCCTGATGATGCACTCGCTGCTCCAGTCCGAAGGCTGTGTGGGCAGGACCGTCCATAGGGGGGATGCGGCATTGGCGCAGTAACCACATTGTCAGCTCAGGGGGGTGCGGCAATCGGTCAGATGGAGCCCCAATATTTAAAACTAGAAACTATTTTTCGTAACCAGGTAAGGCCCACTGAGCTAAAGAGCTCTTTTTCAGAAGCGAAATTAATATCAGCCGAAAGTGTGGAGGACAAATCCGAAGGATCCGGAGAAAAAAAACACGTGACCACGGGGAGAGAGAGACACGCAAACTCCAAATATACAGCAGGCATCAGGGTTGGGATCAAACCCACGTCCTCCTGTCTACCAGGCGAAGTAGTTAACATCTCCTAGCCATCGTGATTTGTCTCACAGGGTCGAACAGAGGCTATTATATATCGCACCTCCTCTTGCCTAATCACATCATCCCATAAGTGTTCTTGTTCTTTTACACTGTTGTTGAAAAACTAATTTCATGGTGGTTGTCAAGGAGGCCCCAACTGGTAGCTTTGTCCACCACGGGGAGGGGTGGGGGGCAAGGCAGGACCCCCCGATGCCTCCAAACTAAACACGAAGTATGACATCTGACGCCGTGACGTAGAAGCACGCCCCGCCCACCCCCCCATAGTGCGGGGCCCGGGTCGGTCACCCCCGAGTCGCCATACCCGAGGGACGGCTCTGGCTGTGGGAGTTGCTAAACGATTGCACGGACCGCACAATGCGATAGGCGTTGGCGTCGTTCTGTCGAGTGTTCGGTGACAAGATAACGCAGACCGCGCGCCTCCTTCGCGCGTCCGTAGACACCCCACGGGCGCGGTTTGACGCATCCCGCTGCTCCGTCGCCTCTCTGCTGGGAGATCTGTTGACGTCACTGAAGTGATCGGCGCCGAGGAGGCGACGGCTCGGCCGTCGTGACAGCTCACTGGGACGTCGGTCACGACAACGGCCCCACCCGAGTTCCATTCCCATCAACGGCTGACATAAAAGTGGCGAGTGACATGTGAACCGGTCGTATAGGCAATCAGCTCACCAACCCGCACTGGCCGGCGTGGTGAAGTATGGTCAAAAATCGCCATGACCGACACAGGGACTGTAGCCATAACAATATTACAAGGGCTGTAAAGACAGAGGAGCACTTCTGAAATGTATTTGTACCGATCGACGAACTGCAATAAGTGGTATTATTATAATGGCGATGTAATGATGATTGTGATAATTGTATTGTTCATATGATTGTGATAATGGGATTGTCATTATGATTGTGATAATGGGATTGTTATTATGATTATGATAATGGGATTGTTATTATGATTGTGATAATGGGATTGTTATTATTATGATAATGGAATTGTTATTATGATTATGATAATGGGATTGTTATTATTATTGTGATAATGGGATTGTTATTATGATTATGATAATGGGATTGTTATTATGATTGTGATAATGGGATTCTCATTATGATTGTGATAATGGGATTCTTATTATGATTATGATAATGGGATTGTTATTATGATTGTGATAATGGGATTGTTATTATTATGATAATGGGATTGTTATTATGATTATGATAATGGGATTGTTATTATGATTGTGATAATGGGATTTTTATTATGATTGTGATAATGGGATTCTTATTATGATTATGATAATGGGATTGTCATTATGATTGTGATAATGGGATTGTTATTATTATGATAATGGGATTGTTATTATGATTATGATAATGGGATTGTTATTATGATTGTGATAATGGGATTCTTATTATGATTGTGATAATGGGATTCTTATTATGATTATGATAATGGGATTGTTATTATGATTGTGGGCCGCAAAGAAGCGGTGGAGACACCGCACGCCTGGGATGCTCGCACTGATCGACAGCGAGAGAGGAACACACGGGTGAGAGAGGACGCACGCGGAAGACTGCGGGCATCATCCTTGAGTGTCACGGAGAGAGAGAGAGCGGGAGTTGGGCAGGAGGCGTCACGGCTACACGGGGACGATTGGCCGATGAACGGAACGCGTCCGAGAGCACAACCCCCATCGAGGAGACGAAGCGATGAAATCAGTCCGTGGTGCGGCAGCTCGAATTCGCGCATCGCAGGATCGTGAGAGTTGGCGGCTTGGGGAGGCGGCCTTCATCCAGGAGTGTATAGAGCCGCGGGAGGCGGTGTGACATCTCGAACGAGTCTCCTCTCCCCGCGCCGCGGTGCCTCCGCACGTGGTTGCGTTGCGCAGCACTTGATGCGAATTATTGCCAGACAGCGCGCGGGGTCAGGGCTGGGATAGCAAAACACAGACGGCGGAATTCGTTCAGCTTCCAGTTGTGTTTCCCGTCTGTGCGGCACACACACGCACACATATACACACACACGCACACATACACACACACATATACACACACGCACACACACGCACACATACACACACGCGCGCGTATACCCACGCGTAGAAGCAGACATACACACAGACCCGGGGAAATACCGAGAGGCGAGTGGGTGGGCGGGCTGGCGGGCGAGCGCCCCAGGAATGATTAAACGCCCTCGCAACCGTCTGATCACGTTTGAGACGCGATCTCAGGAGTGGTCCCAGACTAATATGGCTGTAATAATAATAACAACGCAGTCCCGTGCAGCCGCTTGCCAAGAGCTGGCAGGCAGCAGCTGCTGCTGCTGCGAGCTGAGCGGAGAGCCCCAGCCCCGGAGTCTGCGTGCGGGAGTCCCCGGGACAGAGGGCACCACCCCCCCTGCCCCCCCTGCTCCCTGCCACCTTGGCCCAGCGTGCGCGCTCAAATCTGATCTCGGGGCCGCCAGGCGCGCTCCACGTCCCGACCAACTGCGATTGTTCGCGCCGCTTACCGGGTAAGGACTTCACGCACATCGGGGTGGTTTTATTATTTAAACCAACGACGACATCAACAACAACAACGGACACTTTTTTGGTAATGACGTCTGGAAGATGCGGCTCGGCTACACGCAGACTGCAGTCTGCAGAGTCGCCTCAACCCGGCGCTCCTCACCCGCGCTCCTCACCCAGGCGCATTTCACAGCCACGCCGTGCCGTGTGCAATAATCATCACAGCAGCAGCAGCAGCAGCCGTAGTCAATCCACTGCTGGATGACGGCCTCCCCCAAGCCGTTGCCGTAGCCGCCACCTCTTGCGACCCTGCGGTGAAATCAATCCACCGGGCGGTTTCTGCGCGCACCAACAGATTTCCTCGCTCCGTCTCCACGTCGGTGGATCTCTAGGAACCCGTTCGCTTTTGTGGCTGCCGCTCCGTTGCCATTTGTTGACCGTCCTCGCCCCGTGTAGCCGTGACGCGCGCGCTGCCCCAGCTCCGCTCACTTCGCTTGACAGCCACCGCGATGGCGTTCGCGATTTGTGCGCAGAGAAAAGAACCCGATCCGAGCACCGTGCGCCATTGTGGCGGAGAGCGACGCCGCTGCTGCCGCCGCCGCTGCTGCCGCCGCCGCTGCTGCCGCCGCCGCCGCCGCTGCTGCGTTTTCCCCGGGGCGCGACACTCACCGCGACCTCGCATCTCGCGCCTCGCGCTCTTTCTTTGCGCACACGAGGTCACTCCTCTCTCTCCCTCCACAGCGCGCCCGGTCCCTCTGATAAGTGTGCTTGGCACTTGGTGAACTGATCCTGTTGTTGCTGATGATGATCCTGCTGCTGCTTGCGTTATCTCGCGACGTGTGTGACCGCGCTGCTGCGCGCTCTGCGTGGAGTTCGAGTCGGGGTTGGATGTGGAACTGGCGGAGGCTCGGGCTGATCGCTCACTGGGACCCCCAGCCGCCCCGTGAGCCCGGCGCGTGGTTGCCCGGCTGGGTGCCACTGGGCGAGTGGGCACTGGCGTCGAGGGATGCCTCGGGGTGCTGGGCTTTGGGTGCTGTTGGCGCAGGGTGCTGAGTGCTGGGAGTTTGGTGATTGGGTCTGTGGGGTCGGGATGCTGTGAGGCTGGGGTGCCGCGGGGTGCTGTAAAGTTGCCTCTCTCGGTGGGGCCGGGTGCCATGTGCTGTGCACGCTGCTGCCGGGTGGTTGGGTGTGCGGGTGTCTCGCTGCTGCGAGGCTGGACTCTGCTGGGTGTTGCCGGGTGGTGCCAGAGCGCCGTGTCCCCAGGGCCGGGCGCGGCTGCGGGCTGGGTTCGCGTCGAGCCACGCGTCGGCAGCCAATAGGAAGGGATTCCTCCAAGACGCGTGACCTCACTTCCCAAAACGAGAGAAAATTCATCCGGTTACATTTGTCGTCGCCAACAATTGCGAGCTAATTAGGTAAGGGGCGAGCTCCTATGCGGCGCCCGTGAGGAGGAGGAGCGCGAGGAGGAGAGGATGGACACCCCGGTGAAGGTGAGATGCGCCTCGCGCGCGCGGGGCGACGGAGGAGGCGACGCGCGGATGATTCCCATTTCCCACTCCTCCTCCTTCGCCGCTAAATTTCCTTTTCCTCCGCAACTGCGTGTGGCTGCCGGGCTGCGGGGCCCCGGTCGAGGCGCCGGAATGCGGCGCAGCGAGGGGAGAGCGAGAGAGGGGAGAGCGAGAGAGGGGAGAGCGCCGTACCCCGCGCCAAGGCGCGTGACGCCGAGCGCGCCGCGGTCGCGCGATCCCTCGTGGAAGTCGCTGGGCACGAGGCGAGGGTCGCGCTCAGAACCCCCGACGGGACTCGGGTCACGCCGAGTGCGGCGCCGGGGTGCGGGCTGGGTGGGGGGGCGACGACGCCGCGCGGGACCCCAGGGGTGGGGGGCGCCACTAGCAGCCCCTTTCGGTCCCCGGGGGACGGCGTTCGTGCGCGGAGTTAGTCCGCTCTCGCTGAAGGTGAAAGCGCGCGCAGGATGTGAGCTCGTGTGGGCTGTACACGCGCGGCGTTCGACCACGGAGGATGTCAGCGCGAGGCGTCAGCGCGCAGTGGCTGTGAGCTCGCGCGGGCCGTTGGCGCGCGACTCCGTGCGGACTGTGCCTGCGGCGAGGCGCTCTCCTCCCCGTGCAGTTGAACAACGGAGCCGTGAGCGCCATTGCGAGTCTCGCGGCTATCGACTCGTGAAGAGCAGGGAGCAGGAAGCAGGCAGAGATGAGCGTGAGAGCCAGAGGGACCCCCAGTAGGGACACACGAGGAGCGCGGTCGCCGTCTCTGCGACTCCTCGAGTGAGCACCCGTGCCCAGCACCGCGCACCGCGCACCGCGCGCTGCCTGAGTGTCACACACACACACACAGAGAGCGCGTGACTGCTTGGATGTCACGCGCTGGCACGGTCCACCCGGGGCGTTGCCGCGACTTCTCATGCCCAAGGCTCATTCACCACTCGATATTTCCCCAATGCAACGCAGGCAAAGGCGCAGGTCTGCAAGTGCTCGCTCACTCCGCTGCTGGAGGGAAAGGGGCCTTGGATGGCATTTGCTCTTCCGCGCCGACCAGACGCGTTGGTGGTAGGGGGCTGGGAGGTGCCCACGCTTTACCCCACCTTGACACGTGACCTGCCAAGCGACTTGGTTGTGGTGATGAACCCATTTGTGCTGCTCCTGGGTGGACAGAGGCGGTGGCGGGGGGGGGACAGGGTGAGAGGGGGGGGGGGTTATGAAACTTGCCCCATTGTTTTGAACTGCCGTGCCAGGAGATGGAATCGAACCGTTCCCCGCCACCGTGGCAGTTCCCAGTCGGCTTCATGCGGGAATGACCAAAGCGCTCCGTGGACGTTAAAGGTCACTCCGAGCTCACGAGCAAGAGCGAGTCTCCGTGTGAGAGTCACTGCCACAGTGCGAGAGCGACGCGGAACAACAACAACAACAACAACCACCACCACGCGTGCCCCTTACACTGCCCAAGTGAATAACACGCACAGTACATGCTAAGCGACGTTTCGGGCAACGGGCCGTTCTTGCGAGCAGAGAGATGGATTCCTGTGCCAATGCAGAACGGCCAATTGCCCGCAGCGCCCGCATTATAAGATGCACTTCCCCCCTGCATCTTTGATTAGCACGGTTGGCTACATACTGTGCGAAAGAAGTTAAATAAACAAACAAAGCGTCTCGTGGTCCTGCAACCGCGTGTCTGTGTGAGCGACCAGATCTGTGGATAACTTTGCCAGCACCGTGCACAGGTTGGAGGTGCGTCTTGCTCTACGGGGGAGGCTCCTCACTGGGGGCCGGGTTATTGGCGAATGTGTTGTGGGGGCTGTCGGTGCCGTGGAGTGCGCTAGCAGTAGCAGCAGCACCAGCAGGACAACTCCTGCTGGTGCCACACCTATGACTGCTGCTACCGGCCTCTCTGCTGCGTGAATCCCCCCCCCCCCCACGTGACTGCCGATTCCCTGCTGCCCCCCCCCTCCCGCCAGCCCCAGTCTCGCAAGAGCGAGAATCAGTTCCACTCGGGGTTGTTGGTTCACATCCTCTGCAGGGCTATGATGATGATGATGATGACGACAACAAGAGTATGTTCATTGAGTAACTCGTTTGGTATCCGCGCCGCTCCCCATAGCGCAGGGCGACCTTCCGCGTGACAGGCGGACGGCCGCCCCCAGCAGGGCGAGTGTGGCGATGTTGCGGGGTTCGTCCCAATGGAGCGCTTTTCAGTGCAATCGGTCACATTTGGACCGTAACGCCGGGACGCAATGGGGCCCTCACCGTTTCGAACGTCGTCAGGGGGAATCGCTTAGCGACTCATCATCGTGAAGCAGACCGGCGAGTGTGTATCTATATTAGCGTTAACGCACCCGCGGTGATAACCAGGACGGCCTGCGGAATTCGAGCCGCAACCTCTTCGCTGTGCAACGCGCGCGGTGAACGCGCTGCCGCTGGGCCGCTCGTCCAGGAGGAGCCGTGCCGTGACTCGCCTGAGAAGGCGGCACGGCCACGCGTGGACTGGTACCGCGTGAAACAATCAGTGCGGGGATGGAATGTCGCTGTCACTCCTCGAAACGCGGGGATCTTCTCATGGGTCCTCCGGTTTCCTTCTCCGTCTGTAAACACGCCTTGATTGTCTGAAAACATCTTAACATAGAGAGAGGACAGCAGAACTTGGGAAATTGTTAGTATCGCCGACTTCTCACTGCCTGGCTTGCTGCTGCTGCTGCCTTCCCACTGCCACGTATCCACGGTTCCTCCTCGGCGATCGCGAAAGATCAGCACCATAATCTTTATTTATACCGGAGATGCAATCTCCACGGACCACGACACCGCCCACTCTAACCCTACACATCCTTGTCATCAGTATTATTATGATTTCATGTAACAAGCAATCTGTAATTTATTTAATAATTACACTCGGAAAGTCATCCACAGGTGAATCACAACGGCGCCTAAAGTGGCGCAGTGGTGAGCGTGCTGCGTGCGCTCCGAACCCGTCCGAGTTCGATTCGCGATCACAGCCAACGTCAGTGGCGAGTGATATCGGACCGCTCCCTGCACCTCACTGACCCGGATGTTTGTTAACACTGCTGCCCTAAAAAGTAAAACATATAGAACAGGCGACGGTTCGGGCAACGACCCTCTTTGCACTGTGGGATGACGGCCACCCCACTCGGTGTTGGTCTTGGGGGGCTGGGGGAGAGACATTCATCCAGCAGTGGATGAGTATGCGTGCCCGAGTTGTGTATCGTTTAATTCGAGAGGCGCTTCAGCTCCTCACTCTCGCGCCTCGCCGGGACCCGTGGCGTCACACACACCGCCTGTGGTCGAGGGTCATTGCGGAGTGGCTGCCGAGAGGAGGAGGAGGAGGAGCACTGGCGTGGAGATGGAGCGATGAAATCGGTTCACGTGCAGGTGCTGCATGGATTGGTACATGGCAGGATCGATGTATTTACTGTATGTTTAACATCTTTCGCACCGTACGTCGCCAACCGTGCTAATCGGAGGTGCGGCGGCTTGGGGAGGCCTTCGTCCAGCAGTGGAGTGACCATGGCGATGACTGTGGTCGTCTGGCCATGCAGCGGCAGCTGCCGGGCTGGCCTCTGACTCCGCTGGTGAAGATTCGAAAAGTCGAAGCCGGTCTAAGAGTCGACCCGCGTCAACTGACGCTGCTGGGAAACTTTGTCTGCAGAGGACGGTGACAGTGAAATGCAAAGACGGGCGCTCAGAGAACGTGGTGATGATGATGATGATTATTACTATGACTATTTAGTTTGTTGTTGTCACGGTCATTGCCGGTCAAACGCTGACCCTTCCGGCTCTTCCTCATCTGCCGCACATGCCGAGGAATCGGTCCACAAGGCAGCTTCCTCTCTCATCCACACTGAGCTCAATCCCCACGCTGCCGCTCGCGACGATAAGACAAAGTTCTTCCGTATAGCCGTCGTAAGCTGTTGGGGTAAGTGCTGTTTGCAAGCACACAACAAGGCCGGCACGGAACGCGACGCGAGGTCGGTGGGAACGCCATGTCCGGCCGCCTTGTGTTTCCCCAGTGCTGATGTTTATACACTGCACCAGCTTCTCATTTAAGGCTGAGTCAACGAAGAGGTGACCCAGGGTCGGCTCAGATATTCGCCACTGTTATTGGGTACTGAGCGGGAATTGAACTCGATTCAATTCCCGTGCAGTGATCGATCCACAACCACGCAACACGAGATACACACCCCTCCTCGCCCCCTCACCCACCCACTCACCCATCCACACACTCACCCACCTACTCACTCACCCACTTACTCACTAAACCTCTAACTCACTCACACACCCACTCACTCATTCACCCACTCACCCACCTACTCATTCACCCACTCACTCACTCCCTCACCCACCCACTCATTCACCCACCAACTCAAACACTCACCCACTATATCACTAACCCACTCACGCACTAACCCACCCACTCACTCATCCACACACCCATTCACTCATTCACCCACTCACCCACCTACTCACTCACCCACCCACTCACTCACTCCCTCACCCACTCACTCACCCACCAACTCAAACACTCACCCACTATATCACTAACCCACTCACTCACTAACCCACTCACTCATCACACTGGAAGGGCACACAACACTCCATATCCGCGTCTTCCCTCTCACCGTTCCAATTTGGAATCCCCTCCTCCTCCCACCATCGTCTTCTTCCGCGAGCTCTCACAACAACAACAACCTTAGCCAATTCAAGTGACTTGTCAGCTCGTGTCTAATACACCTTCAACAGTGCTATTTGCCGCCGACCGCCTGGTGTCGTGTGCTGTGGAGCTCGTCCTCGGCACCTGGGGGGTGAATGCGCGAGCAATCCCCGTGGCGAGGGTGGCTGGAGGGAGGATTTAGGATCGGCGCAGAGTACCTCCACGCGGGGAGCTCTGGTGCGCTGCGGACTTTCCCTGGGCGCGCTGGCCACTGGGTTGTGTGTTGTGTCTGTTGAACGTCTTTCGCACCGTACGT